TTCTCACTTATTGGTGGGAGCTAAAAATAAATAAATAAATTCACTCACACACACACAAAATAACTGGGGGGGGGAAGAAGATATAACAACTACAATCCTTTGAAGTTGTTACAACAAGCAAATGGAAAGGACATTGTTGGTTGGGAGGGGGGAGAGGGAGGAGGGAGGGAGGTTTCGGTGATGGGCCATAATAATCAACCACATTGTATATCGACAAAATAAAAATTTAAAGGGGAAAAAAAAATCAGGTAGCAGGTTAGATGTAGCCCACAGACCATGTTTCACTGACCCTTGCTCTAGAATATAAGAGGGTTTTAGGGTCACAGTGAGCTATTAGTGCAAGGTGCAAAACCTACTAGAGCACAATCTTTTAAATTTTACAGACAAAGATTATTTTTACATATTTTGGACTTGGTCATGTTCAATGTCTTGGTACAGAAGTTGGGTATTATAGGAGATGGGTCTTTTACTATGTCTATATAAGAATTACAAAATTCCTTTTACATCATAATTTGTCATTTTTTCCATTATTTTCTTTGTCTCTTCTACCAGCACTCAGTAGCGGGGAGAGAGGGAAACTGAAATTCTTTTTTTTTTTTTAATACCAACTAACCTTCCTTAAGTGATACTATGTGCATGATACAGTGCAGAGTGTGTGGGGGGATACAGAAATAAATAAAAGTGTAAAATTATAGTAAATATTAAAAGCAACAAAAATTTAAAAAAATAAAAAAGAAAAGAAAAAAATTATACTACAAAGCTATAGTAACCAAAACAGCATGGTACTGGCATAAAAACAGACACATGGACCAATGGAACAGAACAGAGAACCCAGAAATCAAGCCATACATTTTTGTCATCTAATCTTTGGCAAAGGTACCAAGAACACACACTGGGGAAGAGACTGCCTCTTCAGTAAATGTTGCTGGGAAAATTGGACATCCATACATAGAAGAATGAAACTAGACCCATACCTCTCTCCATATACCAAAATCAACTCAACGTGGATTAAAGAATTAAATATATGTCCTGAAACAATAAAACTCCTAAAAGAAAATATAGGGGAAACACTTCAGGAAGTAGGACTGGGCAAAGACTTTATTAATATGACCCCTGAGGCACAGGCAACAAAAGGAAAAATAAACAAATGGTGTTATATCAAACTAAAAAGCTTCTGCACAGCAAAAGAAACAATTCACAGAGCAAAAAAACAACCTACAAAGTGGATAAAAAGTTTGCAAACTATGCATCCAGCAAAGAATGCAGAATATACGAGGAACTCAAACAACTTAACAGTAAAAAAACAAATGACCTGATTTAAAAATGGGGAAAGGAGCTGAACAGGTATTTCTCAAAGGAAGATATACAAATGGCCAACAGACACATGAAAAAATGCTCAACATGACTCAGCATCAGGGAAATGCAAATCAAAACCACACTGAGATACCATCTCACCCCAGTTAGATGGGCTATTACCAAAAAGACACAGAATAGCAAATATAGTGAGGATGCAGAGAAAGGGTGACCCTCCTACACTGTTGGTGAGGCTGTAAATTGGTGCAGCCATTATGGAAAACAGTATGGAGGTTCCTCGAACAACCACAGATAGAACTGCCATATGATCCAGCAATCCCACTGCTGGGTGTTCACCCAAAGGAATGGAAAGCATCATGTTGAAGGGACACCTGCACTCCTATTTTTATTGCAGCTCTATGTACAACAGCCAAGATATGGAAACAACCTGTATGTCCATCATCCAATGACTGGATAAGGAAAATGTGGTACATCTACACAATGGAATACTACTCTGCCATAAAAAAGAATGAAATACTGCCCATTTTCAGCAACATGCATGAAGAGAAAATCATGTTAAGTGAAATAAACGAGGCACAGAAAGAGAAATATTGCACGTCCTTACTCATAAGTGTGAACTAAAAAATAAATTTTTAAAAAAAGACGGAAAGATACAACAATCACAATAATATCTGGAACTTTCAAGAGGACAGAACAGAACTGAGGTTATGAAAGGTGGGAAAGGGGGAGGGGTAAGGGAGGAATCAGTAAAGGGCCATGAAAAATGATTACATTGTATAACATTGAATATACTAATTATCCCGATTTGAGCATCACATTCTACACACAGGTAATGATATTCCATTTTGTATCCCACAGATATGTATATCGACTATGTTACAATAAAAAATTTTTTTTACAATAAAATGCTAGGAAACGTTCTCATAAAAATAAAAGAAATAGGGGCTGACCAGTTACCTCCATTGGTTACAGTGCACTGTTATAACACCAAGGTCACAGGTTCAGATCCTTGCACCAGCCAGCTGCCAAAAAAATAAAAGAAATAAAACTGACCACAAAGATGAGTTGGAAAACCCATTGGCCTGCAAACTATATGGCCCAGCAACAACACCTCAGGTGCAGACCCCACTGAGAAGCATCTCCCAGTCACCAACAGACATGAAGGAGGATGCTCATAGCCGCTTCATTCATAACACAAGTTGGAGGCTGCCACGGTGTCCACTAACCTGTGAACAGATAAGCAAAATGTGCCGTGCATTAGGAAGCAGCCACAACTACACACAGGAACAGGAGGAGCTTCACAAGTACAGGAGCAAAGAAGGCTACATCTTCAATACAATTCCGGTTAGAATGTTCACAAGCTCGCACAACAGACCTGTGGTATTTAGAAGTCAAGAGGGGGTCACCCTGGGGGTGCGACTGGAGGAGCACAAGGGGGCCTGACGCCTTAGCTGCCCCACTGGGTTCCTTCCAAGAAAATGCCCTGAGCTGGGCACCCTAATGACTATGAACTTTCACATTATATTCTTGTAAAAAATTCACTCAAAGCAGACATGCAGTTTCTGGGTCCCTTGCCCCCTTCTTCCCAGGACTCCTGTGAGGGACACAGGACAACCATACCCCTGAGCTCCAGGCCCTGACACCCTAGGTCCCAGAACCTCAACCAGATGCAGTCAAAACAAAACCTGGGCTCGCTTCCAGCCATTCCCACAGCGCTGCATGTCCCCATCTAAAAATAGCACCAATAGTCAAGCCGTTCTCATCTACCCTTAACCCCACTCCACATCCAATCCATAGACAGTGCTCCCTTGACCTGAAAACACACCCTGGACACATCTCCTGTCCATTTCTACCACAATCTCTCCAATCTAAGCAATACCCACCTCTGATCCTGACCTCTCCAACAGCCTCCTCCCTACCCCCAACCCAGCCTCTGTTCTTGCCTTCTGGGGTGGAGATCGCTGGCTTTCTGTCCCAGCATCCATGTCCCTTCATTCTCACTAACAGTACCCTGAGCTTGCTTGGGTTGGCACTGTGCCCAGCTCACTGTACCACCCAACTTCTATGGTGGCAGTTCTAACCAAAGAACTGTAAGTGGTGGTTATCAAACAGGAATTCAAGGAAAGCTCTTTAAAGAAGGCTGACTCAGCTAGAAATTGCGTGTGCCCTCAGTCCTTCCTCCTGTCACTGCCTGGAACTCAAATTTGATGGCTGGAGCTCTGGTAGCCAACTTATGAACGTGAAGATAAAGGTCTCATCCTAAGAACAGCCAAGTTGAAACCCATAAAAGCTTGGGACCCTGACAACATAATGGAGACTTTGTACCTGCTTTCTACTTTCTATCCTCTATTCCAGACTTGTTAAAAAAACAACAACAACAAAAAAAACCAAACTGTTAATCTCTCTAAATAACTGTTTTTCAGATTTTGTTAGCAAAAGATACAATTCCAAACTGATACAACAATCTCCCGACAGTCCATTCACCACACAGTAGCAGCAGCTAGATTAACGTTTCTTAACATAAATCAGATCATGCCATTTCCCCACGTGAAATGTTTCAACACCTTCCCATTTCTCAGAATAAGACCCCCATTTTAAGTCATGGCCAGCGAGGCCTGGGCAATCTCACCGCACGTTCTGTCCAACCTCTCCCCTCTCACGCTCCATCTTCCTGTCCTGGCCATACCTAAATGCAGAGCTTGGCCTCTCTGTGAAGCTGTGTGACAGCTGCCTCTCCTGCCTGTCAACGCCATTCAGAACCTTTCCAAATGTGCCTGTTCCAGACGCCACCCGTGTAGATCCCGTTGCCCAGTCTCATTAATCTACATGAAAGGGTTTTCCTCTGTATGACTGACAATTGATTTGCAGTGGCTCCCAAACAGGAGATAGCTTCATATGCTCCAAATGAAGAAAAGTAAATTACAGATTCAGATTTTCTAAATTTCAGGCGTACTTGTAGTTCTTTGCCATACTGGTGTCATTTATTGTTTGTAAAACAGAAGTAGACCCGCATGGACTACAAAGTTGTTATAAGAATTCTCTGAGATGTAATTATGTATCAGACAATTATACCAGATAATGATATATAATTAATTCACGTCTGATCGTGATGGTGTTCACTGCTGACAAATGCAAAACGGAAGTTGTGCAAAGTCGGAACCAACCAGGCCTGGCCCCACGGAACCCACAGCTGGAGGAGGGGGCTGCGTGGAGACATTCCATAAGTGGTCCTGCTGTCCTCACTGTTCCCAGTTCTTCCTGGGTGTGATAAGAGACACGGGGGAAAGGACGATGGCAATGATGATGAGCTGTGCTCGGAGTCCCCTAAAAATCCCATTAAAAACCTTCTACCCCACCTTTTGGAGCCATGGTTCACTGGCTTCTTGGCAGGGTGGACTTTTCCCATTCCTTGTGACAGACATCATGCCACCAACGAGAGCTGGAAGCAGCCACGTGGCTGCGCAGCCCCATCCCTCTCAGCAGCAGAGGCTGCACACTCACAGTGAGAGAGATCCCGTCTCATGTGGGACAAAGACACCAGTGGCCGAGCTGAGTGCTGCACAGCCCCAGCCACCTCCACACGCTCCCCCAGTGTGCACCCAGCCCTGGTCCCAGCCAGTGCCAGGCTGTGCCAAGGGGACAAAATGGATGTGCCGCCACCCCTGCCTTCCCTCCCCCAAGCCCCATAGCCAGGCAAAGGTCCATACGCACAAAAGAAATGACGGCGGACCGAGATGTAACCAGCGACGGTAACACAGAGGGACGATTTCTCCCAGGAATTCTCTATCTAGCCAAATGATAACCCGTACGAGTGCAGCACAGAGCATGCTTCAAACCCACGAGTTCTCAAAATTCTTACCTCCCTGACGCCTGCTCAGAAAGCTGCTGCTGAAGGATCTGCTCCATCCAAACAGTGAGCTGTTTCCCAGGCATTTTTCGTAGGAAGCAGCCTCCTGTGTGTATGGAGCAGAAGCACAGAGGAGGGAGCCAGGGCAGTGGAGGCCCCAAAGGGGGACACAAGGGACTCCTGATAGGGCCCATGAGCTGGCTTGCAGAAAGAAGAGCTTTAGAGATCTGGCAAAGATGAGGATGAATTAGTAACAGATAGGTAAAAAATGAGGCAAATACTAACCCAGGGGAAGCAAACATGTTCCAGGAATGAAAATGTAAGGAGACTGTACTTATCACAGTCCAACTACGTGGCCCCAGTGACAAACACTGCAAATATGAGGGGTCTTTGAGAAATTCATGGAAAGATTTGTACTATCTTCTAATTCTATTTTCCCAAAAACTTTCTGAAGTGCCCTCGTAACTCCATTGGGAGGACGGAGAAGGGGACGAGCAAGGGGGGAGGGGACAACAGTCAAGACTTCAGTCCTCATCTTCCATCGTAACACAGTATCTCACATGGGGGCATCAGGCAATGTCAGTCGGTTAGCCAATTTGAAGAAAAATATCAAAAATGGCTAAAAGCTGCAATTCACTATCTCAGGGCAGCACAAGGGGGGCAAAGGGTCGAGACTCGCAAGAGCCACTTTCCCTCCTGTGCCGTATAAGAACTACTTCACTTTAGAATGACGTGCATTGCTTACTTTGAGTAAACACATTAAGTAAAGAAACTCCAGCTCCTGGTTCCTTGCAGCCTGGAAGACAGCAACTCAGCAGAATGACCCCTGCAGGCAATGCCGAGGGCCGGAAGGAGCCAGCTGTGGCAAACACTTCTGCAGAAATAGATGCTCTCCGAGCAGCAGGAGCAGCAGCACAGGACTGAGTGTCCAATGCCCGCGCGACCCCTCCTCAGGCCACCTCACAGTCTTTGCACGCACTGCTCCGTCTTCCAGAACATTCCTTCCCCAGGAGCTGCTGGTGGCTGGCCCCTTCCCAAGGCCACCCCCTCACCGCCCACCCCCAACCTCCCCCACTCCTCCTGCTCTATTGTTTTCCTGGCACATGGCTTAAAGACTTGGAAATGTCTCCAGATTTGGTCCCTTCTGGGGCAGGGCAGAACGGGGCAAACAAAAGCATTCCAGTTAGAAGACTAAGGCCAGAGCTCGAGAGGACGAAGCTGAGACCTCAACAGCAGAAAGTCTCACAAAAGAAATCCCCAGAATAAACAGAGATTTAGAATAAATCTTCTGACAGCATTCACGACCAAAGCTCCAGGAATGGCTAAGCTGTCCCTGAATAAATGTGCCTGAGACAACATGTCTAAGCGAGTTTGAGCAGATGCCCCAGTGGAAGCCAATGGCTCCTTCCAGGTGGTTTTAAGTGACTAGTGAGAGTGGTCAGGAATTGCTGGTGTTCACTCAGGTTACTCAACTGGTCACAGTGAAAAGAAGAGACTTTTTTCTTAATCACCTTTACCTTGGACCCATCCAGCCACTGCTATTTAGGAGCCAAGCAAGTGTAAGCAGAGCACACCTGGCTTCCAGACCCATCTTGCCAACACATGGAGTTTCCCAGAGTGGATTTTTATCCAGGTCTGAAGCATATTATCTCACAGCAGACACCAGGTTCGCGATGGTCTATATCAGACTCTGCCTCTCCTCCCAAATGGTCTTTAGAACAATCCATGTGAACAGCCAAAGGTCAAGAAAGGTCTGAGCTGCACACAGCTCCTCCCGGTGAGCGGAAGGGTTACACAGTTTGCCTTATGACATTGGAAGGGTTTGATGGTTTTTTTCCTTTGGCAGCAAGCACACATTGTTTTGTATAATTTAGAAATTGCTTTAAGCAACGCACATCACACCCATACAGATACACTGCCCCATACTTTCTAGAAACAGTGGTTGCATAATCACTGACGGATGTCACATTAAGGATCTCACTATATATACTTAAATTAAAACAACTAGATAACCTGGGTACCCAAGGCATGGAGAAGGGGACTGGACCCCCCTCCCACAACCAGGCACACTGTGCCAGTGCCTTGGGCCCCACCCATGGACCCGAGGCACGGAGCTGGGAACCAGACACTCTCCACAACCAGGTACACTGCCAGCGCCAAGGAGCATGCCAAAAACATCACCTACATGTGGATGGCCCACCACGATAACCATGGCTGCCGTGAAAGCAACTAGACACCACAACCACCACACAGATGGTCCACCAGCCACTGCAGTGCATTGACACAAGGAGAGTCACTAGCAGAGATAAAGAAGAGGATGTCTCTCTCCACAAAGCCCATTTCAGAGTGACAGAAGCAGCATCTGCTCTATGATAATACTGGGGGACCTGATCTCACCTCTCAGCATTGGACAGATCATTTAGGAAACAAATCAACAGAGTAACCATTATTCTTTCAGAGGGAGAGGAGAAATCTAGGGTAATTAGAGGGGGGAGGGGGCGGGGGAGAGACTGGATAAGGGGCATAAAGAATAATTATGATGTGTAACCATAATAATTGTGCTAGTAATATTGATTTGATCAACATATCTCAATGTTGACCCCAAAAATATGTATAAAATTTTTTTTTTTAAAATGGATAAAATGCCCAATTTGCTGGGTTTTTTTTAACATTTCTGAGAAGCAAAGGTATCCCGCTGGGAGCTGAGCCTTATGAACCTGCATTTTGCTGAGACAATGTAAAATTGTTGCCCTTTGCATTCAGAAAGAAGGACTTGACACAGGAGCCCATTAGAAAGACATGGTTATGAAATGTCACTCCCATTGCTCACACGTAATTGGGCTGCTCATGAAGAGTGTGCTAGCCCACTTTAAATGTCAGGAGAATGGAACTCAGAGGGGGCTCTGAGCCCCTCACTCACGTCCTGTCAATACTTGCCAGATGGCAGCTCTCCACCCCGGAGTGGCCTTAAAATCAAGGCAGGAGGCTGCAGCAGAGAAAACAGAGTACCCAGCAACCAGTGTGTATGTGTATGAATACGTGTGTGTGTGTGTGCATGTGTGCATCTGTGTGCACGTGCACACACATGTACATATCTGTGCATGTGTGCGCGTATGCATGTGTGTGCCTGAACATGAGTATACATCTGTACATGTGTGGTGTGTGCATCTGTGTGTGTGTGTCAATGTGCATCTGCATGTATATGTTATACATGCATCTGTATATTTGTGCATCTGTGTCGGTATTTGTGTACATGTGCATGTGTACATATGTGTATGTGTGTGCACATCTGTGTGCGTGCCACTCTGCTTCAGCACATAAACTCCAAAATCTAGTGTTGCATCTTAAATGTGAATGGTGACTGTCAGCCAGGGTGCTATACAGCAGGAATCATGAACCACTGCTGTCTGGAGAGTGTCTACCCACTCATGCCTTGGCTCCTTCCTGGGATCAGCCATGTGGCAGTTGAGGTGGATCATGAAGAGGACACTAGTCACTACCACAGAGGAGATGTCAGTTCTCCTGCTAGCAATAGGATGCTAAACCGATGTTAACACACCTTCCCCCTGAAGGAAGACAACACAGCTATAAGAAAGACTGACGCAGGTCTGCATGGACCACCCGTAAGCAAATCACACATCCTCCACCACACCTGGAAGGCGGATGTAGAGCAACATGCGAGGTATGGCCTGCACTGCGTCATGAGAGGCTGCATCGGTCTACACATAAACACACACACGGACACACACAGACACCAGGCAGAGACACACACCAACACACACACACACAGACACTAGACAGGAAGATACATGGACATGGACACACATTAAACTGTTAACAATTGTTACCTCTGGGGGGGAAGGAGCATGGCCAGGAAACTCAATTTTGATGTTTCTTTTTAAAACAATTTTACTTTTGTAAAAAACTTTAATTCATTAAAAAACCGTGTCTCATCTATGGTATACTCAAGCCAGTGCATCAGCAGTTTAAACCCCACACATTAACGTGTGAAGAGTGTGTGTGATGAATCGTCCACGTGCTGACTCATTTCTCGGTTTAGGTTTAGGTTTCCTGCCATTTCTTTCTCCCTTCTGCATTTACATAAAAAGTGAGAAGTGGCTTTTCTTCCCAGTGTGTCCTCCATGCTTCTTATGACGGCAAAGTAAAAAATAATGGCAAGAGCCAGTCCTCGTGGGCTCTCACAGTGAATTCTCTTCCTACTTAATACTGAGTGGATTAAATTATCCCTGCTTTCAATTTCTAAAGATCCTAAAATACTTTTTCTAAACAAAGAATTTGACAAACAAAATTCAAAGACAAATGACCTAAGCTGGGGGGGACTAGGGGAAAAATACTTGTAACGTAAGTACCAGCACTTGGAATTTCTCACAAATAAAGTGATATAACAAATCAATAAGGAAAATAGAGCCCCCACCCCAACGGACCAGATAATTTATAAAAAATATATGTATACGAGTTTAACCAGCCAGTAAACATAGAAAACACTAAACCTTCCTAGAAGGGAGGCTGTGCTAATTAAAACCCCCGACCTAACTGGCAAGCTACGTGCTCACAGTGGCAGCAGGCGGGGTGAACACAAAAGTGAGCAGTGGCGCCGGAGCCTCCTACAGAGCAGTCGGGCTGTGGTCTCGCAGGCTCCATTGACTACACATGAGTAATACGAAAGCAGCGAAGGAAAGCTGGGGCTCTCCTTTAGGTTTTTACAAATTAAACTGGTTATTTTTCTTTCCTTTAAAACTGAAATACATGGCTTGGAATTGACCAAAATTAAGACTCATCAAGGAAATGCCCCACGTCCAGGGTAGGGTGACATTGAGAGCCTTTTTTTACACCATATCTGACCAACTACCCCTAACGCCCCCCTAAAGAGGAAAAACAGCTTCTCGGTGCCTATGCCAGGGGCCATCAGCCCCACGAGCAGCACAGAGAAGCTGAGAGAGAGAGAACGGGAAGAAAGAAGAGGAGAGGGGAAAAGCGGGGGGACAGGAAGAAGAAAGCCCGTCCACGGGTCAGGTGCCCAGCACCCACCTTCCAGTGCCGACCCCAAGAGGCGGCAGACAAGTCTGAATTTTTGCCCCAAGGAACGGCAGAGACCAAGTACCCAACCGCCTGCCCGATCCAGGTGAGGCTTCTACAAGACATCGACTTTGCTGAACTGGGAATATAGATCATGAAACAAAATGATTTTACCTGTATTTTGTGTCTCTTGAAATGTTCCAGTCTTTTCTAAAAAGAAGTCTTCAGAAATCTTTGCTCTGAAAATAATAGAAAACAAGGATATCTAAGCCTTTAAATTGTCCATTCTCATCAATTCAGCGTCACTTCTGGAAAGGCACTGAAAACAAATTCTTGCCATTTTTTTAAACTTCTGGACTCCCTGGCAGATGACCTTCCGACCCAGGACCAGCATGGCTGGCGTGCACTGCTGTCTGTGCAACCACTTACCCGTAAACTAAGAGGAAGTACAGCCCAGCACACCACCCAGTGCTGGGCAGGTCCTCAGGACTGACTGCAGCCACTGTCTTACAAAACAAGCTATTCCAATATAACCCACCATCACAGTCAGTCCATGCATCAAACAAGTATCATCTAATTGTCTGTTAACTTCAGATACGTATCCTGTAAAACTCACCTTCATGAGGCACCAAAGGAAAAAGCAGACACACGTATAACATACCTGTATATACAAGAACTAAACAGATGTTTATCTTCCCCTTTGTTTTAGGCGGTTTTTAAGCCAAACAGAAAAATGTCCACCATGGAGTGGCAATGTTTCTGCAGCACGTCTCTCACCACTTTACAGTGTGGGATAGAGCCCTCAAAACAGCGACCCCGAAGCCCAGTACTACCACCAACAATCAGACGAGGAGAATCAGAATCAGCAAGCCAGAAGCCACGCATACGACTGAAGCCGGTTCACAGGCTGGCAGAACAGAGGCTGATCCTTCGTGATTTATTTAAATGATCCACGTGTCTGTTCAACCCTGCTATGAATGAGGCTCCAGCACACTCAGGGCTGGGGAGCATTTCTGTTGTTCCCTTTTGCTTTTGGAGCTTATACAATCCCTGCTCGTTTTCTGAAGGCAGCTGAGAAGGAATGGCTCTCTCAGGAAACATAGGTGACGCCCCATCCCTCCCACCCAGGCCCCTCACTCTCCAGCTCCCACTTCTGTACACCCCCTGCCTGGCCCTCCCAGGAACGGAGCCTCGGACACAGCCATCCAGGCACAGGACATCCAGTGACCCTGGCCCCAAGTGTCTGACACGTCCTCTGAGTCCTGAGCAGGCCCCTCAAGTTAGCAAATGTGCCACCAGAACAGTGATCTGAAATGAGCAGCACTCACCAGGACCCACCATGGCAGGGGTTTTCCCTCCGGCAACAGCTACCTCTTACAACCAATTTTATAAGCAAAAGTGTCTTCACGTGAGCAGCTACGGAAGGAAGCTTCCTGGAAAAGGCCACATCCACCCAAGACCTGGAATCAATAGCTCTTGCTGATACACTGCAGGAGACGTGTGGGCACAACCGCTGGGCAGGCAGTGTGGCACGTCCCACACTGCTGTGGGCACCTGTAAAAGCACCACCTTGACTGTTCCCACAGGGTTTTCTGGTCACACGGACAGGTGGGGGGAAGGGAAGGGGACAGCAGCGGCCTGTAGACTGTGCTGAAAACATTTCAAGGGAAAAAAGGTAGGGATTCACACATAAATAGGGGGTTTAGATAAATAAAGTGACTGCCACGAATTTTAAAGCTGAAAACTTCTGTTTTCTAGAAATAAATAAGCCTTTGTCACTCTTATAAATAAAAGCCCAGAACTGCTCATTCTGTGGCTGGAAAGGACATGGATCATATTCATCATAATTTCATGGTGTTGAACAACAAACGACAGCAGTTTTGGGGTACCCACGTGCACGCCTCATTCTAGAGAGCCTCAAACAACCCGGTTTGAGCACTGCACCCTCCTTCAGGCCCAGGGTCCACATCCAGCCTCCCAAACCGCTTCTGCCCCCAGTGCTGAGTAATGACACAGACTTCCGGGGCCTCAGTGAACCAAGCCCCGGTCCCTGAGCTATCTGCACTCTCACCAGGACATTTTTTCCTTCTTCCTCAGCATAAAACCCCACAAACTATAATTAGTTATCACCACAGCAAAGAATGCAAATCACCTACCCCTCACTCAAGTCGTTACTCATCAGACTGTTTCTACTCTGCATCTCCCAACTCCTCATCACACGCGTAGAGTGAATTCAACGGCCCATTCACACAAAAAAAGAATGCAATTAATCGGAAGAGAGAGAACTGTTTCCCTCACTCAGGAGCAGCCCGGCCTTCACTCCCCTCCCTGCACACCCCCAACAGCGCAGGAGGGCACTGGGCACCAATGCCCAGGCCTTGAGAGCAGTTATTTAATGACCACTGATGACAGCAGCAGAGCCTAGGGCCACAGCCTTGTCTTGCCTCCATTCTGCAAACGTGACCTCCCCTTCGCCGTGCCCGCCCCTCAGCAGTAGCCATGTGCTCTTTAGCAGGCAGACAAGACACAGGTGGGCTGGGTCAGGAGTTCCTGGGTTCCAGGCCTGAATTCTCTAAGTTTTGTGTTCTTGGGGAAGTAACTGATTCTCTCTGAGCCTCTCTTTCCTCATCCAGAAAGTGAGCATACTAATGGTACCTACCTCATTCGGTTGTTAGGAAGACCCATGACTAATCTATTTTGAAGAACTTAAAATGTTAGATGTTAAAATCTTAGATGTTAGTGTCTGACATCTAAAAAAGCACCAAGAAATATTCATGATTATTCTTACCACCTATGAAATGAGGCCAGTTAAACCTGCCTTGCTAAGAAAGACTCATGGAGATACAGCAAACAGGATGCAGCTATTAGCACATCTGACCCCACTCTCCATGCACCAGTGACCAGGGGCTCCACCAGCCTCCTCTTGCATACATGGGGGCCCAGGTCCACATCCACAACTCCTGGGAGCAAGGCAGCCTGCTGTGGCTGTGGATGGGACCGTGAGCCCCTCTGCTTGACCTCCTCACCCCAGCCCAGGAGCAGGTGAGGAGGTGCCTGGGCAGAGATGCAATGGGGGACACTCCACTGCAATCAGCATCTTAGCACGTGCCCAATCGGTGTGGGACTGCACATCACAACATGACCCCACTGCACAGTGCTGAGAAGGGAAACCATGAGGCTGGCTACAAAGTGCATGGTGAGGGGCTGGGGGACAGCGTGCCCGCTCATGTCCTGGGGATAACATCTGCAGAGATACCACGTCCAGACCCCCCTCCACCCCTGACCAGCAGTTCTCCAAGAATTCAGTGTGGATATACCCCACGTGTGCAGGATGCCCTGAACAAGGCTATTAATAGGAAAACTCTGGTGACATCTAGAAGTCCATCAGTGTGTGTGTGTGTTTCTGTGTGTGTACATATATATATATGCACATATGTAAACTTTCTGTGTACAAACTGTGGCACATCCTTAAGACGGAATACCATGCAACTGCTAAAAAAAAATATAAAGCTGTCATTGATATGAAAGGGAGCTCAAGATCCACTGTTCAGTAAAAAGTAGGGTTCCCATTTGTATAAGCACATGGTGTGCAACCATTTGTGTGTACGTGTGTGTATGTAATTAATTAAAAGGACGATTTGATTAGATCAAATTTTAACCAAGGGCTTGCTGGCCATGGATGACTACAGAGTGGATTTTATCTGCAATAAAGGATGCAGATAAAATTTTTCACAAGTTGAATCTTTCAGAACTATTTGAATTCTAACCTTAAGCAAGTGGGTTTTTAATTGAAATATTTTAAATCTGATATCAAAAGTAAGATATAGTAATTGTAGAAACATTGAAAAATTCAGAAAAAGTCAAAGAAGAAAACATTTCTGACAATCTTAAGAAACAGGTTATCATGACTATTAAAATAAGATCCCATTACTTGTGTCTTTTGAAGTAACTTTACGAAGTAGATTTCATCAAAATGGAAGTTTCCAGGAAGAGCACACAGACTGAAGTACGTTTCTGGTCGTTCTGACATTTTGCTGGAATTTGTTGTTCTAAGACATTTCTGACTCGTTCACTCAACAGTCACCTCTGCAGTGCACCGTACTGTGCCAGGTAAAAATGTGCCGGTTCAGATGATGACAGCAGAATTCCACCCCGTCCCCGGCGTGGGGGTGTCAGGCCTCTGTGGCTGTAAGGACAGCAGTGGGGATCCCTCCATGCTCTCTGACATGGGTGGTGGAAGGGGCAGGCTTGTAGCCAAGTGGCAGCAAGGTCAAGACTGAAGCCAAGAAAGAGGATGGAGCTGGCGCCTGTGGGCTGGTGGGGGACGGAGGACCCCCATGTGCACCTGCGAGCTTCCGCATGGAGCACCAGCTTGTGCATGTGTGCCACACAGTGCTCCTTGCGTCCTGCAAGGGCTGTGCAATATTCCATAATTAAACATAACAATGCCACACATCCACATTGTTTCCAATTTCACACTTAAAATTCATTTTTAAAGACCAATTTTAACCAGCAGCAAAATCTGACCAAGAACCTTTTCTATCTGGAATGTTCAAAGTGATACCGAAGTTCGGGTACCATGTAGAGGACACCATGAGGCGGCCACGGTGGGTTCTGTGGTTGCACCCTTCGGAGCAGTGAGACAGAGACTCAGACTCAGGGCTTTGACACGTCAGACTGACTGGCAGTCCGTCTACTGGAAATAATCCATGAGGCGGCCACGGTGGGTTCTGTGGTTGCACCCTTCGGAGCAGTGAGACAGAGACTCAGGGCTTTGACACGTCAGACTGACTGGCAGTCCGTCTACTGGAAATAATAGTGCATAATTTCCATGATTTATTTTCATTCTACTCTCTTCTAAATTTTTCCAGATAGTTGAGCTAAAGTAATTTTTGAAAAGTAATACGATCCATCCTATAAAACACAAGTCACCTAACACAAACATTTTTTATAACTTCTTTCAAGCCAATTAGACACTGTAATTAAGTGCTTGTTTATTTTCCCTTGAACCAGAGAGGCAGCACAGTGTGGTGGCTGCGGTGGGGGCTCCAAGGCCGGCTTGTTCCAGTGCAGATTCCCCAGCTGCTGTGTGACCTAGAAGAGGCCACTCCCCCCCACCTCCTCAGCACCTCCCCTCCCTCAGCTACTCTTCCCTCCCCAGCTACTCCCTCAGCACCTCCCTCCCTCAGCTACTGTTCCCTCC